CACTTCCTTTTGCATAGGTTGTCATTTTAGGAGCCATGGTTTTTTTGACACTGCTTCGCACGGCAGCCTACTTTATCTATGGTGCATACCAGCGTCGTCGGATGCTTAGTACCAACCCACAGGCTGTTATTGAGCCAATGAAGAAGCACTATACTTGCGTCTACGCCGGAATACGAATGGCTGATATCTTTGGCCACGTTAATAACTCCAAATATCTTGAGATATGTGAACTGGCCCGTTGGCATTACGGAGGCTACGTCGGTATGATGAAAATACTGTGGGAACTAAGGGCAAGCTTTGTAGTTGCCTCTGTGAACGTGCAATATGTGAGAGAAATTTTGCCGTGCCGTCGTTATCTGGTAACAACAGAGGTGCTGCGCTTTGAAGACGCAGGCTCTTCATCAGATAAACCAATCTCGGGGAAAGACGAGAGTGGGGTGGCAAGAAACTTACCACCCGCCGGGCGTATGGTGATCATGCACGAGATATGGAGTATGGACAAGAAAACACTTTATGCTGGTATTTTGTTACGAGCTGCACTGGTAGGTGATGCAAAGTCACCCCTGGCTATCCCCTCTGGAGGTAAGCGACGCGGCAGATATGCCCTGTTGGATTGCAGGGCGGTTTACGCCGCGATTAGAGGCGCTGATGGTGCGAATGAGCTGGCCAACGAGAACATGAGGAATTTCTACAACCGTCTCGGCTTCCAGCCAAATCAGGAAGATTTCAATGGCGATCCATGGATTGAGGCTTCGATGCGTTTGGAAAAGGAATGGCGCTCAAAGCTACAGAGTGTGAGGGAACCCTAATGTCGTAAAAATTCTCTTGAAATCACATGAAGTAATAGTTTTTTGGCTTTACTTACAGCGTTGTGAGATTTGCTAGTGATTTCCTTGGAGTCGTTCAAACAATGGCTTGGTACAGAAAACAAGAGATGTTGCGCGAAATGTGGTGTTTCACTGGTATTTCCCACAGTAGCGGATGTTTTCTCCCGCACCAACTTGCTCCCTCCCCACTTTTTTTGGTTCAGGACATATAGAGGGAGGATACATACAAGGAAGAGGGAAAAGAGATAGAGACAGGGAGGGAGGGAGAGAGAGAGGCAAACCCAAAGAAAAAAATCTCGAGTGTGGGCTTGCTTACTTTTTCTCTCTCTCAGTGTGTGTGTGTGTGTGGCACGGGTGCTGTCAGATGGCCGCGTTGGCCCCGAAGAATGGATCGTTTCTTCACGCTTTGCAGCTGGAAAACGATGCATTGCGTCGTCAACTGCGGAGGGCTCATGAGGATATGGAGCGTGTGCTTCAGCAGCTTCAGCGCGAGTCGAAGGGAGGCCGTGGAACTGCAGAGGGAGGGAGTCATGGTGGTCGTCATGAGGGTGGTGGCGACGCATGGCACGTCGAACGCCTCGAGCGGCGGTGTGAGCTGTTGGCGACTCGACTGGTGGGAATTGTGCGGGACAGGCAGTTGTCAGAGTGCGCAGAGATTCACTTTCTCCTTCGAACACAGGAGGAGGAGCGCCGGTTTCTGCACGATGCCCTTGTTACACTTCTGGAGAGGCAAAAAGGATCCTCTGGCGGCGATGAATATGGGGCTCAGACGGAAAAAGAGATTCATCCAGGCATGTTGAGTGCATTAATCATGAGGGTGGCTGAAAATATGCAAAGTTCCCGTTCCCAGTTGAAACTGGAGCAGACCGAGCGTATTATGCTTTTGGGGCAGACCATCGATCTTATCTTAGACATACAGAAGGCGATCGAAAAGGCGGCACGGTGGGTGTACGGCTACCACTGCGATTTCCTTCACGCGGGCTCTCTCCAAGAGCTGACGTTATGGAGGGAGGCTCAAAACTCTGGCATTGTTGGGCTGCGTTCGCTGGCGGAGGTCACCCCGGATGTTCCACCGCGTACTTCTTTTCGCAAAAGAAGCAGCAACCATTCAGAACGGCGTTGGCGGGAGGAAGTTGACTGTTCCATTGAATTTCCCTCAAGCTCTGTACACCAAACCGAGGCCGCAGCGAACTTTTCTTCACGTAGGGGCGATTTGCTGGAGGCGTGTGACGTACTGCGAGCATGTCACCAGGCCTTAACAGGCGTTCGGACTCTTCTTGGTGATGCTATGTCCAATGTCACTTCCTCGTGCTCCTCACGAAAGGGGAAACTGACAAGCGTAGAGGAGCTTTTGAAGGGCTTTCATCGGGATCTGCAAGAAATGGTACGGAGTAACGAGAGATGCCGAGAGACGTTGGCGCGGCGATTGGAGGCTGAGATTGAGGCTCACCGACGAACAGTTCAGAAGTTTGAGGCACGCCTGAAGTTAGCCGAGAGGGAGTTGATTGATCATCTTACCTCTTCACACAAATTTCAGAAACCGTTGGGATCCAATGACGCAGACGCGCCCTCCTTTTCTAATTACCCCAGCAAGGTGAAGGCATATCATGGCGAAACGGGGGCCACAACGCCGCCCACACCAACAGGAACAACCGCAACGGGAAACCGACGTACTGTGAGGGTCAACAACAATACTCGGTTTCAGTTTGCTCCAGAAAAGACTGTGCCGCTTTCTCCCCGGCGGGATTTGCCATTTGTTTTGGAGGGACAAAATGACAAGAAACAAAAGAGACGGGGGGATACCCGTCCTGGCACTCCCCATAAGGGCAGCGCTTGTGATGTGGTTTCTTTTTTTCCCCCTTCTTTGCCTTCTTTTGCCGCTCTTGCAGGGCCTCTACCCGAGACGCGGGGGCGGCAGCATGAGGATTTGCAGTCCTTTTCGTCCCGAGACAATTTTGAAGACGGGACGCGCAGCAACTCTACCGGGGAGGGTTCGGTGGCGCACTCTTCGCCTCCACTGCCTGCATCAAGGAGAGAGCGACACCCTTCGAGTGGCAAAATCCAGGAGGGTAGGGAGGCGGTGTCTTCGCAACGATGCGTGCGATGGCCGCGGGGGGCGGTCTTGCTCAGTCCTTCAGCTTTTTGAAACCCACCACGTGAAAAGCGAACCTGTGGGAAACTTGCGTGTGGTTGGTGGATGCTCTGGCGTAGCGGCAGTGTGTCTAGATGCACATCCCCTTTCTTTCTGTTTTTACTCAATTTATTTTTTCACCTGCGACCATACATATACACTCATACATATATAAGTATACGTGTATTCTTATTGAATTGGGGTTTGTGAGTATTTTTCACCGCTGCATCTATTTTTTATGCCGTTTTTTCTTCTTTCCTTCCCTGTCGCCGAAATCTAAAGATGGGGTTTACCCCCATGTTTTTTTGGCCGGAGATTAATGAAGCTGATACACGTGCCTCTGGAGTTGCTGCGTCTCTCTCTTTCTTGACATTGATGGTAAAACACACCAGAATTCTGCGTCAGCCTGTGTGTAAGCAGAAGAACGGTGTGCCTCTTATTTGGCAGCGACGATGGCGGCGCTACTACCCAATACAACTGAAGTGCAGTTGAAGGCGTGAGATGATTCTCCATTCTGGCGACGAGGAATGATGCGTACCCAAGTGCCCTGAAGAGACGCCAAGGTATGATCTCCTCTATGGCGAGTGAATTTTTTCTAGCCAACGGAGTCACTACGGATTTTCCCACGTGTAATTCCTTTATTCCTATTTCTTTTCTCATTCGCCAGAACGTTTCTCCAATATACTTCCGGATGCGACGGCTTTTTAACGCAACCCCGACTTCTTTTTTGAACGATGCTTTAACACGCTTGCAAGAGATGCTGAGAGCAAAACATTGCGCTCCGCATTCGTTGAGAAGCGAATAATTTTGGCAGATGTGGAGGCCACTCAGAAGGGCGTATTCTGCGTGGGACATTCTCGGATGCTTTTACCATTTCTTTCATTTCCGTATGGGCTTGCCGCCGCATTTTTTTTTTTCTGAATGGAATTTTGTCTCCCATTTTTTTGATTGTTGGTTTTAACACGTGTTTTGCTTGCTGCACTGGGCAGTTAGGATAGCGCCAGAGGTGTATAAGCCGTGTAGTCTCTCTGATGTATATGCGTGACAGACGTCCTCTATTAGCGGACGATGCCGCGAATAAAAAAGTAGTAATCAATAAATTTTCAGGAAGGGAAATGCAGCACCGTTTGCATGAAGAAACTCCTCCACCCATGACGATTAAGAGAGCGTCCGTTTGTGTTCTTTTTTTCCTTGTCGTGCTCGGGATTCCATTGGGAGTCATCTACTATTTTACGCCGTTCTTTGTCGTTGAGAACTTGGGTTGCAGGGCTCTGGAGAAACTCTGGGGGGATGACACAGTGCGCGTGCTAGAGGAGGGTTACCACAGCTACAAGGCCTCACCGCCGCGGTTTCCCTCCCTCGAGTACAACAAAACGATGCTCTGGGGAACATATGAGCCTGGTCTCCTTTTTGCCATGAAGACACGCACCCCAAAGCCTGTGTACATTGGAGTTGCCTGGTACGACGAGGCAGGCCTACACCCCGTCCGGCATAAGATGGTGGACGTGCTGTCGGTAGAGCGACGTCGGGACAGCAATGACACCATGGTCTCTGACGAAAAGACAGGTGCATTTGAAGCAGCCTGGTCACTACACGATGGCGTCCATTACGGGCATCTTTTTGTGCGAGATGGCCCAGCCAAGATAAACATTGAATTTCTCAAGAGTCCTCCAGGTGACAGTTGGCACGTCCGTGTTCATGGCCAGATGGATGGAGCGAAACCTATTGAGTTTGTTGTTTACGTTGTGAACGAGGGGGGTGACGCCCTCGAGCCTGAGCTGGCAACAACCGACGGTTCATGGGATCCGCAGATCAAGAGCGAGTTCGAAGATGCAGATGGGCGTCGAGAAGGCTTTAATTTGCTTCTTCGCGATGATCATAACCCCCTCCTTACGGTCGCCTCCTGGCAAGTGTATGGGTGGCGGTCTGCCGAAGGTGAGTTTCTTCGTGGCACCAATCTTCGTAACGTGCATTTAAATGCTCAGTCGTGTAAAATTGACTTCTCTGGGGTAAAGCGATCGCCACTTCTCAAGACTGGGCACGAAACACACAACGTGATGATATTTCGTAAGAGATATGAGTCAGACTTTCGGGTCGAACTTTCAATGCGCCACGCCTCGCATCTTGTGGCAGCTGTCCCTGATGCGACAGCACACCAACGATTTATGGCAGATTACGAATCGTTGACAACATGCCAGCTGACCAACGCTTTCCGTGCTCGGGAGAAAGAAGTTTTGTATCAGATGCGCCAAATGCTAATTCCATGGACAAAGGGGATTCATGTCAATCGCAAGCTGTACATCAACAGAGCTTCTCGGGTTCTCAGCGGGGCGCTAGGCTCGTGGGGCTTTTGGTATGGGCGATACCTTTACCTGGATCCAATTCTTGACGCTTCATGGGACGAGCAAGGAAAATTGACAAGAGTTCAATCGGACGGACAACTACGGGAAGCAGCGTTTGATGTGTCTGCTTTTGGGGCAGTGGCTTCTCGAGTGGGGAGTTCGTACGGTGACATGACTCTGACAGGATTTCATCTCCTTTTTATTATACGCTGGAACAAGGAGTGGACAAAGGATGCCATTGCTTCTTGGCTTGTTGGCGCTCAAGAAAGCAATAGCGGCTTTATTCCACATAGGGCAATCCTTACGGCGGCATCGCGTGCATTTGCTCCACCCTCCGCACGCTACGAATGCCTGACGTTTGCTGCACCCCCCACCATTCTTCTTGTACTTGATCAATTACTACGCAGTTACCAGGGAGAGGCAGCTGATAAGGAGTTTCTTGAGTTTTTACTGCCACACCTGCGTCGTTGGCGGACATGGTTTCACAAGACGCAGAGCTCAGGGGATACTGAAATGAGCTTAGAAGCACTTGCTGCCGCAGAAACAACGAATGGGACCGAAAAAAGCTCACCGCCAAGATATCGATGGCGTTCGCGTGATGAATATCGCATCCCTTCCAGTGGTATGCCAGACTACCCCCGACCCGTTTGCCCCGGCTACCACAGAATGGAGGCGCATGTGGATCTTTTTTCGTGGGTTGCACTGCTGAGCTCGATCATCAGCGATGTTGAGCTGCATTTGGGAGCTGCTGAGACTGTTCCCAAGCGGCTTTGGACGGTTTGGTTGGACACGGTGCACTGGGATGCTGCAAACCAGCGCTATGCCGACCGTGCTGGCTGCCCTGGTGACTCTTTCTCGCCGTACATAGGGTATGTCAACCTCTACCCCTTTCTTCTTGGGATCATCGACAACAAGGGGCGTGCACTGACGATCGTTGAACTTGCCAAGACGGAGCTGATGACCCGCTACGGCCTGATGTCTGTTTCGTACGACTCGGTGCGCGCGGCACGTGATGCGGGTCTGCGCCACGAGAACCGCTGGATGGGTCACGTGTGGCTCTCAGCGAACGTCCTGATGCTGCACGCTCTGAGAACGAAATACATTGACATTCTCGGGGACCCGGCAGGGGAACTATTCAAGCGGCTGCGGTTGTGTATGTTGGAGATCAGCGGTGGGTCCCCGATGATGCAGGAGGCCTATAACCCTGTGACGGGCGCCGCAGAGAGCACCGTCTCGCTCGTGGGGTACCGTGCCATGTTG